TACCAACCACGCAGCAAGTTGCAGATGTTTTGACTAAGGGCTTGTTGAGACAGCCATTTGAACTTCAAGTTAGCAAGTTGGGCATGATAGATATCTTTGCACCAACTTGAGGGGGRGTGTCGRMAAGATATGATTTGCTGCAAATTTAGAAAGATTTGATTTGATTGATTACAGATTTGATTTGATTGATTACATATTTGAATAAATTTAGGAACGATTAGATTTGAATAAAATTAGGAAAATCATATCCTAGGATTAAGGGAAAGATTTAATCAATCCCTAATTGAGAGAGATTCTAGGAGTAATTGAGAAAAATCCTAGGAGTTTGTCTCTCCTATCTTTTCTTATTTAAGTTGTATGCTCAACATGTTTTATCAACACATTATCAATACAGAAGTATTTCTTCTTCTCTCCCTCTTCATTTCTTCTTCTCTTCCTCTTTATTTTTTCCACATTTATATTAGATGGATGTGAAGAATGCCTTTTTAATGGGGATACAGGAAGAAGTTTATATGGACTTACCACCTAGGGTAAGCCTTCCTAACAACGAAGGGAAAGTTTGTCACTTGAAGAAGGCTTTATATGGGCTCAAGCAATCCCCTTGATCCTGGTTTGACAAATTTAAAAATATTATCTTAAATATTGGATTCTCTCAATCTCAGGCATACTATACTTTGTTTGTAAGAAGAGTTAATGGTAGAATAACAATGTTGATAGTATATGTTGATGACATTATGTGATGGGTGATGACATTACATGTATCTCTCAATTAAAATCCTTCCTTGCTTTAGAATTTGAGACTAAGGATCTTGGTGATCCTAAACATTTTCTTGACATTGAAGTTGCAAGATCCAAGAAGGGAATCTTTCTTTCAAAAAGGAAGTATGTTCTTGACTTGCTCCATGAAGTTGGGAAATTGTGGTGCAAGCCTGTAGAAACTCCAATTGATCTTAACCACAAGTTGAGTGCTATTGAAGGAGTTCTTCTAGATAGAAGGATAGATCAGAGATTGGTGGGCCATCTCCTATATCTTTGTCTAACTAAACTTGACATATCTTACGTTGTTGAAATGGTTAGCCAATATATGCATGAACCTAGAACATCTCACATGCAAGCAATTAATAAAATTTTAGCTTATTTAAAAGGGTGTCCTAGTAAAGGAATGTTATACTCCAATCATTATCACCTAAAAATTGAGGATTAAACAGATGTTGACTGGGCAGGGTCCATTGATGATAATAGAAGATCTACATCTGGTTACTATGACTTGGAGGCAATATGGTTTCATAGAGAAGTAAGAAATAACCAGTTGTTGCTCATTTTAGTGTTGAGGATGATTACAAGGCAATGGCTCATGGGGTGTCTGAACTGCTTTGGTTGAAGACATTATTGACCGAGATGGGCATACAAGCTGATACTGCGATGGGACTTTATTGTGACAATCAAGCAGCCATAAACATTGTTCATGATCCTATTCAACATGATTGTACAAAAAATATTGAGGTAGCAAACACTTAATTAGAGAAAGGATTGCTAGTGGAGAAATTTGCCTTCCTTTTGTAAGGTCGGAAGATCAACTAGCTGATTGCCTCACTAAAGGTGTTCACCATCCAAAGTTTGACAAGAACTTTGTCAAGTTGGGCATGATTGACATATATGCTCAGCTTGAGGGGGAGTGTTGAGAATGCTTGGGTGGGGTGTTTTTGGTCTTTCCCTAATCTGTTTGTATTTGGGCGTGCAAGTAAGGGCTTTATTGTAATTTTCCCTCAAAATATAAATGGCAGATTTGAGGGTATGAATAGTAACACACACCTCTCATTCAATATTCTTCCTTCTCCTCTCTACAAAGCCTAGCTTGATTTCTATTTGGATTGACATCTCTCTTGACATCACATTTTAAATCTTCGTCCTTAATTGGATTGGGTCAAGGTAGACCAAATACCAACTAAATTATTATTGGACTCTAGAAGTTGGACCAAGAACTGATCTTTCATAGTACCTGTCATAGTATATTATAGATTTGCATATCTTGAGTCTATTGAACCAACCTGGCCCATTGACAGCTTTATAATTTTTTATGGAATTATATCATATATTCTGAATTCGCTTTGCCAACTGAACTTATCCTATTATACATTACGTCCTTGAAGTATTATGAGTTCTGGTCACCTCGTATCTCCTTTAAAATAGGTTAATTTTTCTCTACTTAAAATTTCCTAAATTTACAAATTTTAATGCTATATTGACATGACATTTTTATGCTATTGAAGGCTCAAAATTTCATGATAAATGAAATAAAGAACTTACTCAGTAAGTGGCAACAATAAATATATACTTGATCCTCCATAATAATCAATTTACAAGACATACCTTGCAATAAGCTAGTAGAGTGGAGTTTGAGTAATGAAAAAGTAATGGCATGGAAGTTGATCAACCAGTTTACCTAAAGATTATGGTATAGGCAACTGCAAGAAAAGACACTGTCAAATGTGGCTCCTCCCAGTGCCTAAGCTTTTCAAAATTGTTGGCAACAACCACAAATGGAAGCATAAGCTCCTGAATAATGCCCAATCACCAAAATGTTGATCCAGGAAATCACATATAGAAAAAGAAGAAAATATTGATTATAATAACCATTCCTCACAGCAGCAAAGCATATAAGAAAAATCTCAAGTAAAACAAAGTTCATAGCATAAAGCACAAGTCCATGATATCAGAACAGAACAGAAAGCAGTCTAAGAGATCAAGCCATATGTTAAAATGTTTGATTACAATTCCTACTTAGTGATAATATTCATAACAATTATAATGTTTGTGAATTTTTTATACTTTTTATATTGGTTTTTTGAGAAACTAAAAGGTCCCAAACAAGTAGACCACACACATCAATGACCACTAAAGTTGCAGATTGTCATGTTTTTCATGGTTATCAAATGGGAGGTATGACTCCTAGGATGTCACTAAAGCACTGCCCTGTCAAGGAAGAAGATTTGGTTTCCAGCCCTGTTAGCCTAAACCTAGGATTGGATTTCATCTTTTTGTTCCTGGATGCCCCATAAAAGTCAATTGCTATTCCTTTCCTCCACCAACAAAGGTTCATTCCAAGTCACAAGAGTGGGCAGAAGAGCATTTATAGTCATCCACTCTAATTTTACTTGAGGGGCTGATCAGTAATTTGTTATTGTAGTCAATTTTCTAGTATAAATAGAAGTATGCCACAGATGGAGAGTTGATTTATTTAATATCTAAATGATCAAGGTTATATTACAACAGTGACATACCCTTCAAATCTTCAACTATTACCTTAAGTTCTTTACTTCTAGGTTTTACTTTTAACTCAAATAATATCAAAATAACCAAACAGTAAGCAATTTCCCGGTGTAGGGCCTCCTGAAAGACACACATGACACAACAAACCACCCAATCCTTTCTAACTTCAAAGAGAGTTTATAAATTGTAAAGCATTTAACAAATCCCACATAGATTTTCTATACTGCATCAAGAAATATCTGTAAATATTTCCACTCGCTCCCCAATTCAAGACCACAGGTTTTTTATAAAATCTTTTAATCCAATCATGATCCCTTTCCACTAAATAAAACCTATGCTGATGAACCTGGATGCCTTTTTCACCTCAAGAAGTCATATTCTGGTATTCATGTTGCAATTAAGCTCCTTCACGAATCCATCTTCTCATTCCTAAGTCTCATATACAATTCTCATAGAATACTTAGTCATCAATAACACATTCCTCATCCCCGACCTATCAATTTCTTTGAATAGTTCTTTATCATCTTCTTTAAAAAGAAATGGCCCTGAAAATATACGCTTTTGGAGATTTATGGTTCATGTTATCTGAGAAGGATCTCCATACAAAATTAGTCACAATAACTGAACTAAGCGAAGTGATATAGGCAACTACTAGTAGTTACTCAGAAAGACATCAAGGGAAAAGCAATTATGACAAACCAAGAAAAATTAAATAATTACATTTTCATAATTGTACATAGAACATTCGTAGAATTTATGAGTGACAGTATACTCTATAGGCAATTCAGCAGGAAGAATGCGATAATTTTCTCCTATGGGCGATGAAATGCAATACCTATACAAGAACCCAGTCTAAGAATTAAGGTCAAAAAGATTAAATAATTAAAAAAGCACTAAGAAAGATTAAGTACCTTGAAAAGATCAATGTTACTGGGGATCCCTTTCAGCATTGCAGCATCAATAGTAGCTTGTGTTTTCTCAATAACCTGACTTTTCTCTTTGCAAGTTATTGCTGCCTTTTCTACAAGAGTCATATCAGACACAACAAGATTTTTATTCAAAACTAGACCTTGTCTTATTGAAGAATTTTTCCAGAAGGTAACTGATGCATTAGTTGCCCAAGATGGAGATTTCATCCACTTCTGCAAGTAAACACTTCCATCTATGTCAAAGACATGAATACTACCAGAGACCTCATTTGAAGGCCTTGTTCCTTTCATTTCTACATGGTCTGACTCTGCAAATTTTTTAACTAGTGGTCCACCCCAAAAGTTTACAGCCAATGCCTGGCAAACTACATAACCATTAGGTGTATTTCTCAAATATGCGAACTGAACAAGTTTAGCAGGATCTTCTGATAACTTCTGAATAAAATGAAGTGCCTGTAGTCTGGCAACACTGTTAATTGCACTTATGGTAGCTCTTGTTTTCCCTTTATGAGAACCATATACATAATTAACTGATTGATCACCATCCTCTGGTCCATATTCACGTATAAACTCATGCAAGGCAATTAATTCACTAATAAAAGCATGCCACAAATCTCGTCTCATTTCACCACCAAATTCAACAAATTCTAACAACCAAGTTTCTGACCTATTCAGAAGAGAAACATTAGGGGAACATTATGAGAAAACAAATGAGAAATCAAGTGAAACATAAAGATGGAGGCCAAAGAATCCCATACAATTTAACATGGAGAAACTGTCAAAAGCTAAGTAATAGACATTTAGCTTGTATATGAACAAAAAGTTACAATCCATGCTACCCAGACATTAATGCTAACAAAGATGTGGATATGGGAACAGGAGCATGATCTCTTCACTATGATATTGGACATGTATATAAGTAAAAGAATTCCATGTAATATTCTTATTGATTCTATATCTAATTTTTGAAGCTAAGCATCATTCTCAATACTAATAATCATCTTTATAAATTTGATTGAACTTCAAATGTATTCAATTCCAAGAAAGTATTTGAGATCACCAAGATCCTTAATCTCAAATTTAGAATCAAGGGTTTTAATATCAGCATAGTCAACTGCCATCAAATTTCCTTATGAACAATGTGGTCATCTTGAGACTGAGAGAATCCAATCTTCAAAACAACATTTCTAAACCTGTCAAACCAGGCTTTGGGAGACTGTTTACAAAGAATTCTTCAAACAACAAACTTTACCTTCAAACAACAAACCAGGCTTTGGGAGACTGTTAAGTCAATATACATTTCTTCTTGCAGATCTCCATTAAGAAAAACATTTTTCACATCTAGTTTATATAAAGGCCAAGGAAAGTGGGTAGCAAGTGACATAATTACACAAATAGACTTAATCTTAGCAATTGGTGCAAAGGTTACAAGATAGTCAATACCATAGGTTTGGATATATCCTTTGACCACAAATCAAGCCTTATACTTCTCAACTGAACCATCAACCCTATACTTAATAGTGTACACCCATTTACACCCAACAAGAACCTTATCAATGGGACAAGACACTATCTTCCAGGTCTGGTTTTTTATCAAGGCCTTTATCTCTTGGTTCATAGCTTCCTTCCAATGAGGAGACTACACTACTTTTGTAACATTGTGAGGAATAAAAATAGAGAAAATGGTATAAATATAGGCAATAGGAGGATGAGAGAGAATCATACAACACATAATTAGTAATGGGATACTTGGTACATGTTCTCTTTCCCTTCTGGATAGCAATAGGAAGATCAAGGTCAGTATTAGTAATAGAAGTACTAGGGAGTTCAAGATCAAGGTTTTGAAAGGCTAAAGGTGTAGTTGAGGCATAATGGCCCAAAAAGGTGAGGCATATGCCTCTAGACATTGCAAGGCGTAACCCTTAAATCCTAAGAATAAAATCAATTAAAGTTTATAAATTGATAAAAATAACATATAATATATCAGGTTAGAAAGATAAAAGGTATAAATATCCATAAAATAAAAGTTTATAAGCAATAAGTTTCAGCCAAGGTTCAAAACTTCGAAACGTATCAGGCCATGTCGGCTGATACATATCGTATCGGTGGCCTCTTGATATGCCCCTACAGTGAATGTTTCGGGGTTTGACCTGGTTTAATGGGTAGATGAGCCTTAAATCAACCCCTATGAACCAGTTTGAAAAAAAAAAAGAGCAAGCCAAGATACAAGTCGATACGTCCCAACTGACGTATCGACCTTATTGATATTTTGAACCTTGGTTTCAACATTTAAGCAATAAATAAAATAATAACTAATCAACTAACAATTATAAGCATTTTACATTTCATGTTTCAAAATGCAAATTTCTCAAATAGTTCAAATAACTAATTTAGAAGAAAAGAAACATATGAAGAATCATCCATGTAATTGGATATTAGATTATTTATGGTTATTCAATAGTTTAGAAGAAAGAAAAGAACTAAGTTAATTTGATCTATGCAAAAAAAAATCAAAACAAAAATAAATCTATTAGAAAAAGAAATGAGAAAAATAACAAACATGGGATGCTATATTTATAATAATTAGAAAAAAACTCACTTGATATATCCAAGAGAAACAAAGAACTTGATTAGTCCATTTTGTAGTGAATTCTCCTAAAACACTAAGAGAAACTAATAGAACTTGATTTTCCATATTGGATTTTCATTGTTACTCTTTTTTATTTATTTAGCCCATAATTATTGAAGTGCTTCTTCCATATATTATGAACTATAAAAATGCATAATTTTTTTTGCATTAAATCACTAAATAATCATTGATACTTGAGGCCTACACCTTTTTACGCCTAAAGCTATGCCCCACACCTTGAGGCTTACGCCTCATTCTGACAAAGGCTTAAGCCTCACATTAAAGTTGTAAGGCTTACCTCTTGAGGCAAAATCAATATGCCTTGTCTCAAGGTGTAAGCCTCATACCTCAAGGCTTAAGCCTTTTAAAACAATGTTCAAGATTACCTGAGTCCAAAGGGTTAGATTGTGATGGGTATTCAACTTCAAACGCCGATTAGATTGTGATGGGAATTCAACTTCAAAAGCCACCCTCTTACTATGCCTGATGAAGAACTATTGCCAAGACCAAGGTTGACCACAAGATGAGGAGGAGATGGAATGCCCTCATTACAAGGATGTGAAGGAAAAGAGTAGAAATTTGCAAAAACAAAAAGTTGTAGAGAAAGAAAAAGAGAAGAGAAGTTTTTGTGAGGAGAAAAGAAGAAGAGATAGAATGGAGAAAAGAATGAGAGAGCTCTTAGATCTGGCCACCCCCTCCTATTGATAATTTATACTTTTAAGTAAAAAATATGTACAATGACTGATATGCCCTTTTAGGGTGGATGACACAAAAAAATCAATAAAAGACTTAAAAACACCAATCTAAAGGGTCCCAACAAGTATGTTGTGGTCTCCACTCCCTAACTAAACGTGTAATAAACAAATTAAGTTGAGTGTTGATGCAGGTGAAGAGTTTGATGATCCTAGAAAATACAAGAGGTTGGTGGGAAAGTTGAATTATCTGACTATTACCCGGCTAGATATATCATTTGCTGTGAGTCAGTTTATGCAACATCCTCAGATTCCTCATTGGGAAGCAGCTCTAAGGATTGTTAGGTACCTGAACGGTGCTCCAGGTCGTGGTTTTCTATACAAAACTGGAGTGACTCTTGAGATAGTAGGGTATACAGATGCTGATTGGGCTGGTTCTATATCAGACAGGAGATCAACTACAGGGTATTGTAACTTCCTTGGTGGCAATCTTGTAACTTGGAAGAGCAAGAAACAAACAGTGGTGGCAAGGAGTAGTGCAGAAGCTGAGTACAAAGCTATGGCTTATACCACATGTGAACTAGTATGGTTGAAGAACTTGTTACAAGAGATGGGGTTCTCAATTGACAAACCCATGAGACTATACTGTGATAACCAAGCAGCTGTTCACATCTCTTCCAATCCAGTCTTCCATGAGAGAACCAAGCATATTGAGGTCGATTGTCACTTTGTAAGAGAGAAAGTGATCAATGGAGTGATAACCATATCTCATGTGAGCTTGGGAAATCAGCGGGTAGATCTCTTTACAAAGGGATTGTCTCGGGGAAGAGTAGATTATATTTGTGACAAGCTGGGACTATTTGACATATGCTCTCTAGCTTGAGGGGGAGTGTTAGAGTTCATACAACAGGGGTATTTTGGTCATTTGGGTTTATCCATTTGAGAGTGAAAGGTCTGTTTTATTCAAGTTTAAGTTGTGTGTCCCATCACTTATGAGGGACAATATGGTTTTTCTTGTAACTAAGGTTATTTGAGATAAATACAAGTGGGTCGACTAGAGGGGACAGATTTTCCTCTATTGGTCGAACCCTTCTTCTTCTCTTCTTCTTCTTCCTCTTCTTATTCTCTATTGTAACCTAGGACTGAATAAGGTTTTCACAATTTGGTTAATCTACTAACAGACATAAGGTTAAAAGGGAACTTGGGAACATATAAAACAAATGATAAAGATAAGGAGGTAAGATCAACATCACCAACACCACAAATGGGAGATGTAGAACCATTAGCAAGGGTAATTGTTTGGGATGTAGAAGACTGAGAAAGTGAAGAAAATACATTTGGAGTCCCAGACATATGATCCAAGGCTCCAGAGTCAATGATCCAGTGTGAAGGTTTGGAAGCCAAGCAAGCCATACCTGAATGAGCAAGAGTAGTTGTGTTCTGCTAAGAGGATGTCTGAAGGAATTTCCCATATACCTCACGTGGTACACTCACTATCTCCTTCCTAGAAGCACTAGTAGATGTGGAAGGAGTTTGATCAGTTTGCTGATTTTCACTAACTGTACCACTGCCACTAGTCACAGCATGGTTAGCCCAAGTGTTGGGTGGACCATGTAAATCATAGAAGAAATTAACAGTGTGCCCCTCTAATCCATAGTATGCGCATTTTCTAGTTGCATTACTTCTTCCTCTACCACGACCTCCCCCTGACTCTCGACCTCCACTACGGCCACTAGAACGATTAAACATAGGACCACCTTGGTTCCCTGGAAACCCACGGCCACCACCTCCACCACCTCTATTTCCATGACCTCCCCCTTTAGTCACCACAAAACCAGATCTGTCCAAGAGAGAAGACTCTATAGAATCAATAGATATCCTCTGAAGATAGGCAAACACTTCTTTAAATGAGGGGAGAGCAGACCCCCCCCCCCCCAGTATTTGTGCTCGAACCGATTCATATTCAGCCTTTAGACCTACTAGAAACTTTGTCACATCAAGTTTCCCTCACTGTTGTTGTTGAACCTAAACATCCGGAGTCAGAGGATGATATACATTAAGCTCATTACAGATATTTCTCATGCTTGCATAGTATTCCTTCAAGCTTTGGTTACCTTGCTTCAAATTAAAGTACTCTTGATAAAGCTGATATGCCCTAGTGGTAATATCATAGCCGGAATAAAGTTTCTTAGCATAGTCCCAAATTTCTTTAGTTGTATCTAGAAACATAAAATTCACACTGATTTTAGGTTCCGTGCTGTTCCACAATCAGGTCATGATTTGTGCATCCTCCTGTTCCCAATCACTGAACCCTAGAGAATCGGAAGGGGGTTTCTCCTCTCACAT